ATCTGTCGAACTCTGCATTAGCAGAGAGGAACCCGGACGAAGCTTTGCCGAAGGGCAAGGTTTCGTTCGGGGAGGTAGACAGGGCCGGAATATGTCAAGGCGGGTTCAAAAAGGCTATATTTTTGGCCGTGCCTACGGGCTCGGGGATACCCACATTAAACCGGCCTTGTGCCACATTCTATCCTCGTGGGTGGATTGATAAATACTAAACTACGTCCGGCAACAAGGTCTCTGATCGGGAAGTTTTGAGGAGCATGGAACCACCTCTTAATCGCTGTTGTTCCCAGATCCACCCTGACCCGCGGTGGTGACACCTGTTAGGGTCCCAACTATGAGCAAATAGTTAACCTGCAAACTGGCGTTAAAACATTATGAAAATATTTTTTTAAATTATAATAAAAATACGACTAATACATTTTCATAGTAAAACAAATGCCAGCAATACATTACTGTAAAAAAAATTGCCAGTAATACATTTTTCTAGAAGAAATTATCTGAAGAAAATTAAATTTCAGCATTTGACCCATAAGGATGTTGATATGCCGCTAAAGAAAAAAAACAGTAAATAATAATAAGAGTGTAGAATATTGGGTAGCTTATTGAAGGATACGATCCGTCGCTAAAGAGGACGTAAAAATTGTCGTTTGTCCTTGTACCGCTGCAGAAAATATCTAGCTTCTGCCATGTTTTATTTTTACACAAGCTTAAAAGCCGCATTATCGGGCAGCAAAAAAAAATACAGGGAATGTTAGGCAGTTCCTTTAAAGAGGAAGGCAGTGAGAGAGAGCGAGATTATTGGGTGGATTTAGTGAAGGAGAAAAAAAGAAAGAGGAAGAGGACTGTTGTGTAGTTTTGTTGGAGGAATAGAAAATGATTGATGGGAGAATATTTCATTGTTTATTGAAAGTGTATGAGGAGAAAGATGAAAGAATATCTTTTTCTTCGATGTAGCATCTCCCATCGCAGGGCGTAGGTGGCTATGGCTCTCAAGTTATCAGTTCTTTGTACATGTTAGTAAATTTTGCCTTTTAACTATCACTCCTAATCCCTGTTTTAGCAACCATTTTACAAGCTCGTTAGGTACGATATGAGCTAGTTTACATTGCTTCTCTTACTTTCAGTATATAGCATGTGACTATCAAAGCTTATAAGCCTTCTTTCTTTACTATATACCAGTAATATATTTTTGAAAAACAAGAAAAGTTACCAGCAATACATTTTTGTAAAAGAAATTACTAATGCCCCGAAGAAAATTAAATTTCAGCATTAAATGACCCATAAGGATGTTGATATGCCGCTAAATAGTCAGTCAGTCAGCCAATGTGCCATGCGTGTTACACACTTAGGCAATCATGTATATTTCGATACATGACTGACGAGGCAGATTTTTACCGCAGTAGATTACCATTTCTTTCTGCAGTAGACCAATTGCCATCCAAGGATATAGAACCCGGTCTGTCCTGCTATTTACCCATAGCTGGGGGGAGAGAAGAAAGGGATTCATACTTTTTCCAAGGCTATTAACGCGTAAGTGAAATTAATTTATTTGACTGGAATTCGAACTCGGCTCTCCGATTCCTCCATCTCAGTAAACATACTGAAATATACTTGAATAACCAATAAAGGTGTTGGTTAGATCCAGTGACAAGACCCAAAGGGTGTGAGTTCAATACCCGGTTAAGGCAGTGGAGAACTTTCGGAGGGAAAATTAACAGGAGATAACTGTTAGCTGACATCCATCAAACATGGCACGCGGAATTAGAACAGCCTACTCCAGTGAGCGAAATAAAGGGTTCAGTTCGACATTCCAACCACCTGAAGAAGGCCGGAGCGTACAACGACCGAAACGTTGTGATAAATATGGCGACAAAGATGAGGACAATAGTCCGAATAATGTAAACAATGAGCAGATGATAAATAATGTATTTTGGTGACTGAAAGAATGGAAAATAAAGGCTGAGAGCCTTACGGTTAGCTCCTGCAGGGTAAATAAATAATAACAAATCAGTTTAGAGCAAATTCTCCACAATACAAGCGAGAACACCTTATGACGATTCCAAAGGAGTTACTTTAAGCAGTATCGTTTCGACCAATCAGAAGTCAGCCAGAAAAAAAAATATATTTTTTGACCAATCATCTTTCAGTACACCAAGGTCTGTCTCTGAGTCACTTTAACATTATAAAAAAAAAGATACCAAAATTGATAATTGATGGTTTGAACAATTCAGTCACGTATCTTTACTAAGCGACATTTAGCCAAATGAGTAGCTTCATCTCTGCTAGATTTCGTCTATGTTTCTTCTTTACACCTGGGCTTTCATTGACCCGCCGTTTTTATATGCACCCTGATGACCTACGAGATAACCTTCGCGAATTTTACCACCGACCTAACATTCAATCTAACACGATTTGGCCTTGTGCCACAATTATTATATTTCACAATAATAAATATTGGTTTGGTGCATAATTATCAGGCGTTTTTGTAAGCGAGTAATTTGTTAATATAAATTGCTGTTTTGTTTACTTTTTTTAAATAAAACTATTATTTTATTTTTAGGTTGTCGATAATCATACGCTCCAGAATAATCATTTGAAAATGTTACTGTTGAATTATGTTTCTTTTTTCATAATAAATATTATTTTAAAAACGCCTGATAATTATGCACCAACCAATATATTGAACTTACCACGAAATTTTGTCAAGTTGCTATCAGATCGACTCAGCTCAAGACAAACTATTCATGTAAATACCGAACCTAAACTTTATTCCAACGCCTTTTTTCTATCAAATACATTATTTTTTTTTTCACCTTTCACTAAGTAAATATCACTTCTGCTATAAATTCTTCCCTTGTATGAGATAAACACCACGTGTCTGAGTCTCGAAAGTAACGTAGTAACATCAGGTAGAGTATAAACTACCCTTAATTTCAACACTTGATCGGCTCCTGTATCGTATCCTCCTAATTTCATAGCACTTGTAAGAATAAATATAATTTAATAACTAAAATAACGTCATGTTTGACCAATAACGAAGAAATGGCCATCTTCGTATGGCGGCTGAAGTTAAATGATGGAATCTTACTTATTATAAAACGCAGATTGTGTGTGTGTGTGTGTCTGTACACTTATATATTGGATCGGATTTCTACATTTTCAACTGATTTCAACAAAACTTCACAGGACTACGTAAAATTACCTTGCGGTGGTTCTGACAGCGCCAAAAATTGGAAAAACACAATTGTTTTTGCACGAAATCAATTTGAAAACAGCATTAAGTCGCCAGAATGAAAGGGGGACAACACATATCGAGTTATACTTATTATAAAACCCAGGTTCTGTGTGTGTGTGTGTGTGTGTGTGTGTGTGTGTGTGTGTGTGTGTGTGTGTGTTCGTTCGTTTATATATGGGATCAGTTTCCTACATTTTTCAACCGATTTCAACAAAACTTTTTTTTTTTTTGGCAGGTAGTGTTTCTTATTGTCTTGCACTTTTTTTTTTTTATTTTTTACATTCAGAATGCTTTAAAAATTCCATTTACAAGACAATTGTTTATAATAAAATTCTATTCAATCGATAGACACATAACGATTGAAAACAATGTTTTTTGTTTGAGTTTGACCAATTCGTTAAAAAAAAAAAAAAAACGAAAAAAAAAACTAATTAAGACATGCATGTCCGTCAACCTTAAACAATAATCTTTGTCAATTTTATTTTTCAGTCTTTATGATGGTCGATACTTGATCTATCTCTTACTGTTATATCCCCGGGCAACGCAGGGCTCTACTGCTTGTATTTAAATAAATTAGTAGAGTTACAAATTTCTACGGGGCCATACCGTACACTTGATGAGGATAATGTTTCCTGCATCATCTTTGCGCAATATTAGGGAAATCTTAGAATTGTCTTTCAAGTTAACTCACGCAGCGGACCACCTACCTGATGAGATTTATTTTGTAAAAATACAAAGTTGTAGCACAAGGCCGAAAAAAAGAGGCTGTTCATCACCTGCTATCCTATACCATTCACTCGTTACAATTTACCACATTCACCAAAAAAAACCTGTCCTTCATCAATCAATCCTCTATTCACCATAATACCACATACACCCAGAGGCCTACAAAAACGCACCCCACGACATGAAAATGAGGTTTTTATATAAATAGGTGTCAGAACGGAGGTGGCAGGGATAGTAAAAAGGCAAACCTAAGAGCTACAATGGATAGGAAGTTGTCCACGTCCTGAAGGAACACGGTACATAGATGATAAATAGGCTTTGAGACCCTCTTTAACTGTATACTCCAGAATGTTATATGCACTCTCCTCCTCCAAAAATCTTTAAATGTTTTGACGCAGGATGTCTATTCTGGGGCCGGAGCTTCTGTTTAAATCTTTGACGACTTACTATTGTTAATAGCATTATGCTAAATGTACAGACGATGTCAACAATATTTCAACACTGCTAGAATTCTTTTCATCAAGGAACTCAGATTCTTTCAAAGGGGAATATAAGAACTGTTTTCATTTACCGTTTTATTTTTCATTGATACTTTAATGCGTTTTATATTTGAACAGGTTTTTTTTTATTTTGTCTTCAAAAATACAATAAATATTTTTTTTAAAATAATATACTTTTACAAATAATATCTTAATTACACCATTCCGTACCTTTGACCAACATTTCAGTTTCGTTTTGTTGTTTTTTTAGTTAGATTTCTATAACTTGACTCTCTAACTTCAAGACTGTTCACGCAAGGAAGTGATTCACACTCCAGGACTTGAGTCAAAAGGTTTTGCTTTGGACGTGTAATCATGAAGCTTCTGAGTTCATGTGGCCACTAGCTTAATCCGGTGTCATTGATTTGTGCCTTGTAAGTAGTTTTGAACTGGCGTGCTATTCAGTGGGGTTGGTCATTAGTTTTGTCTTATAGTAGAATGTTATATTAGCATACCTCTTGTGCTTGCTTAAAAGAGTCCTTTAAAATATGCTCGCATCAAGATTAGCCGGCCACTTCCAGTTTTTCAACATCATTCATTGGAGGTGATATGTATTGACTTAACTCCTTCCAACGAATGCTCAGACGGGCGTTTCGCTCTTTCTGTTGATCCCGCCTGAAGTTAAAACAAAAGAATAGATCATTTCGATAGAGCAACTAACAGCATAACACTAGATAATAATAACAAGTTAGTTGCGTCTTTTTATATCGGTTTAATTTAGTCTAGTACAAGGCCAAATGTTTGAGATGGAAATATGAGCTAGTATTGCGCACGGACGGTCTGCTTCTCGTGAAAATCAGCATTCGAAATATCGGCTTTTGCTAAAGTTCGAACGCCAACCTTTAAAGTATGCAACTATTTCGTACATAAGGTAGGCCTCAAGCAAGTATCGAATTCGTACAAAAACGAATTAGCCTGGGTGACGAGCTGACTAAAGAAAATCATAGCTTGTAGCAAGTTTGGCTTAATAAAAAATGGGGAAAATTGTCTACATTACAGGCGTCTCCTGTTTTTTTAATATTTTTTTTTTTACATTAGTACAGGGTTTTTCCCATCTACACGAAATGTCCTTTGATAATGTCGTTTAGATTATAGATACTTTAACGCCAAAATAATTGATTGAAAACGCAAAGTGTTAAAGACAGGAGAGAGTGAATTCAGGGAGAATTAACTCGACATTTTAGTGAAATTATACTGCACCGCGACCAAAAATAACTATTTCAACCAAAAATAATTATTTTTTTATATTACTATACATTAAACGCTACAGATAAGAAGTATAAAAAATTATAAAATTCCATGAAAGTTATTAGGAATACAGTTTTCTATATAAATTTATTGTAAATTGATACCCATACGGAAGCCAAAACAAAATATGTCCAAATGACGAGATTTCTTAAAGTTAAAAAAAAAATCAAAAATATTATTTTAAAATTTTAATAAATAACGTGGTATGTGCATTTTTTTTTTTTTTTTGGCTTCCGTAGGTGGATCAGTTTATAATGAATTAACGTGGTTAACTGGACTCCCTATTACCTTTTTATAAAAAAAATGGTTATATTTGTGGTCTGATGTGCTTAACTTACAATAATATGGAAAAAAAATCATTATTTCTAGCCGCAGTGCTTATTGGACAACTCCATTGAATTTTCTCTTTCGTTCTCAATGTATGCTTATATATGTTAAAAATGGTACATGTGAAAAAATATGAAAATAATGGCACGTGAAAAACGGACTCTTTAAACAGCTTAAAATTAAATCCTGTTTAATTTTAAGTTATTTAGAATATTGATCATTGGTCCTCACTTGAAATTAACACCTTTGCTTCTGCTGATAAGTCATCCAGATTATTGCTGTAAATCTGGTTAGGTTTATCTTCTATTTCTATTGCTTTTCTCTTCATGTTGTTGATGCATTTTTTGTGGCTGAAATAACTGCATAATCAGGAGCATAGTTGTCGTCATTCACTGGTACAGGGTCAGTCATATCAAGGCTGGTGGTCATGGTACCTTTTACAAAAAGATGTTCTCTTGACGCATTTCCACCTGATATGAGTTGATCTTATAATCTGTTTTGTATAGATACGTATCCTTGGAAGCAAATCTTCTGTTTTCTTTTATTACTTAATATGATTTCCATGATGAGGGTGTGATAGAGCCACTGAGATCAATGGTGTGTATTTGACGCTTACCGGACAACTAAACCGGAACGAAATAAACAGATAACAACTTCTTTCTGATTAGAAATTTAACTATAAATAGCTTAAAATTAAAAAGCTACTGAAGTCTAATTTTAATCTGGTTTTCCTATTTTTTCCCTTGTGCCCTTTTTTACCATGTCCTTATTACCTTTGCCCTTGTTACCGTTCACCGTTATATCGGTTAACCCTTTAGACAATCTTGTAAAGTATAAGGCGTCAAATTTCTGTAGAAAGTAGGGTTTTTTTTCACGGGGTAGAGTTGCTAGCTCTAAGCCAAATTAGTGTTAGAATAAGAGTTGTCTTTCTCTTGTACTGGTCGTCAACCAAAACTAGATAACCTACACCACTTTCTTATTAACAGCTGTGGGTGGGGAGAGGGGATAGATTCATAATTTTCCAAAAGTATTTGTGCGAAAGGGAATACAATGTCATCGGTTGGGATTTGAACTCGACACGCCAATCCCAATATCGCGCATATCCTTTATATGCGTACTGATGGTCAATCAGTGGCTCAGATCCAACGGCATTTCTCACCAGTTGTATATTGTCATAGCTACATTTTTTTTGTCTGAGGTTTATTTTTTGATTGAAAATCGTTCACTGTAAACGAAATGGGATTTTATCTTGAAGTGGTGAATGTCCATCACACGAATCGAGCACTAAGAATCGCTTTAGCTATTAATTTATTGTGCTATAGGCTAAATGCTAATCTCTAAGGTATCTTACTCGTTTTGTTCTTCAACGAGTCTAAATTGACCTCTTCGATTTGATTTCCTCCAAGCAACAGGAACAGACACAAGGTTGTTGGAGAGAATTGAAAGAATTTAAGAAGCCATATATCGAGCAGCCCACCATTCGAAACAATTCCTACTCAAGACAGGTGTCACCTTTTTATTTATTTTGAGATTGTTGATATCAGTCAAAAGAAACTGCACTGGTAAAAAAAAAAATCTGTCTGCACCCAAAGGTAGTGAAAGTTACTAAATTTATATCCATATAAATCCAGTCTGAAGTACCCAGTGAAGATCGAACTCTTTTTCGCTTGTAATGCTGTGTGAAACGCGCTTGTTTCTACAAATGCCATGTTAAACATTATCTAATATATTCTTGAATTACCTTGTCTTATTGTTATCGCTCCTTAATAATATTTCGCTTTTTCTTTTTTTTTTTCACTTTAAGTAACCACTTATGTCTTAGTGGCTTTAGTACCTTTCTTGAGGTGAAATAATTAAAAAGAACTTGCTCCATTTTTAATCTACTAATATTAACTAAACTGAGCACGGCACAAGGTCAAAATGTGGAGTTATCAGTGAGGATCGAATTCAGTACAGGTGTAATTTTCAGTGCAGATAGATGGCTTAAATCAGCGTTTCTCAATGTGAGCAGTAACGACTTCTTGGGGGCGATGTGATCTCTCATGAGGCCAGTAAATGTTTAGAAGAAACGTCACTATAATTTTTACAGGACCGTAAGATGATTTAAACTTTTACAATCCTAACTGAACAATTCATATACTAACGTATTTGACTATTTGCCCTTTTTTTACATATTTTAAACATTTAGCTGCCACATGTGAATAAGGCAAATCTTTGCAAGCTAAAGTCTGGTAGTTAGTTCTGACCCGACGACCGATGCTTGGATATTCCCGCTGGAACTTCCTACTGACGATTACCATAATTCAACAAAACGTAAACATGTGACCTTAACTCTGTTATATTAATTCTGCTCCATTTACCAGTCCAAAAATTGCGATCATAGGGGCAACACATGTACTGTAACCATAGCAACATTGAGTGCCTTAGTCAAGATAGCCTGAAGGAGCCTAACCCTTTTTGAATTCAGAGTTTTCCTTCTATTTCCTTCTGGTTGCAGATCCAGTCTGTTCAGATATTTACCATAGCCGAGAGGAAAAGAGATGTATTCATACCTTTCCCAACAGTATATGCGTGTAGATGAACGTAATGAACACGACTGTCCAATTCCTCATTCAGCGAAGTTATTCATTATACCCTGGGCATTCACAATTTTAACATGGGGCCTACCAAAACGCACAAATACCTGAGAAGAGGGACTGGAGAAGTAAAGCTTAAAGCCCCTGCGCTCGAAATTAAGTATTGATATTGATCCTGTAATATCAGGTATGATGGTTTGTACCGGTAAGTCCCTAATTTTAAATATGGAAACTGATTTTGTACTCATCAAATCGATACAGGGCTGTAGCGTTCGCTCCATCCGCTATTTGCAACGCGGGTTCAGTGTCGTAGCGGTCCGGTGGCGGTGGATGTGGCGGCGGAAGCAGCATTATGGTTGTGCGCGTTCGGGGTAGCTGGAGCTGGTGGCTTGGTTTTTCGGGTCGGGGTGACGTACTGCCGTCGCGCGGTCACGATCTTTAAGTCAACCCGTTCTCCGCAGTTGCTCGTCGTCTCGCTCCTCTGTTACCGTTCCGGCTGGCACGTTGTGTGAGCTTAATTGATTGAACCACGCAGTCGAGATCGTAAGGTAAACTCCACAATCCTTTCGTTAGCTACACATTACACGTTCGGTCTTTAATCCAAAATTGTCCTTCTCCTATACTGTTTACCAACCAAGGCTGAAGAGTCCAGTCTGCTCTATTTGAACCATAGTCAGCGAGTAGAGAAGAGCTGGATTCATATCTTTCTGAAGAGTTTTTGCGCGCAAGTGAATGTAACGAAACTTAACTAGAATTCGAACTCGGCTCTCCCATTTCTCGTTCTCAGCCGCTACACCACCCACCCATTTTTCTCTTTTTAAATTCTTCTTAAAATGTTATACAATATTTAATTTGTTTTAATTTTGTAATCTCATGTGTTCAAATAACAAAGGAAAAATGCATTAATTGAAATTACTAGACGTAACCGTAAGTTCTATGCTAACAGTTCCTTCACTCGCACTTCTCGCTTCTTGCTTCCCAGTCAATTTTGATCTTCAAAAATTTAAATGCAATGTCAATCGTTATCTTGTGTCTTCTTAACTGTTCTTTTATTGTCCACTCTCCTTAATAGTATTTTTCCTCGTATTCTCTAACATTCAGTAACCTCTTGCATCCTAGTCGCTTTATTGCCTTGCTTGGGGTGCAATGATTAAAAAAAGTAATCATGGTTTTCATTATATATGCAACATAATAACATAGGAAATGTGGCTTAATTGATTGATTGATTTTTTTACAGCTTATCAACCTTCTGTAGGTTATTTAAAGCTAGAAAATATCCGTCCTAATTAAAACAATAAACTACATCCAACACCAAGGCCTCTGATCAGGAAGTTTTGAGGAGCCTGTAACCACCTTTTAATTGGTGGTGTTCCCATGTCCACCCTGACCCGGGATGGTAGCACCTGTGAGGGTCACATATACGGGCAATAATTAACCCCAAAACTAGGGTCAGAAGGTATAAAAATAGGTTTTAATACCAGCAATACATTTTTGTAAAATAATTACTACCAGCAATAAATTTTTGCAGAAAAAATATTACCATCAATACATAATTACCAGCATTGGTTTTATGGAGAACAAAACCAATGCTGATAATTATGTATTCCAAAAATGTATTGCTGGTAATTTACCAGCAATACATTTTTGGAATGCATAATTTTGGAAAAAATATTGTCGGCATTAAATAACCCATTGAGGTTGATATGCCGTAAAACAAACCAAGCCAAACCAAACTAGAAAATATTTTAGATTGTAATTTTTTGGGGAAATAATATGGATTTACTGGTAGAATTCCTGCTAAATAACCCATAGTTGGGTGGGGGGACAGTTGAACTCATACCTCTCTCAAGATTATTTGCGCGTAAGTGAATATAACAAACGCAACTAGAATTGGAACTCTAGCCGTTATTCATTGCACTATCCGCCTATTCAAGTTTGGTATTCCCAAGCGATCTCCCATCTATATACTGAGCAAGCTCGGCGTTGCTTAACTTCAGTGATAGTAAGAGAACCGGTGTTTCAACGTAATACGGACGCAAACCTTATAGGAAATGTGGATGTTTCAAGATCATGACGATCTGCCAGAACGCTGACTCAAACTATCACTACTTTATTGCTATTTACATAGCAAATGTTCAGAGAAAATCCTTTTCTTAGCCCTACCAGATCAGACCTTTATAGCAAGGACATGCCAAGCTACATCCACGGTGTTGAATCCCCCTCATTTCTCCTGTATTCCATTTGTAATGCGAATGTTTCTCTCAGCTTTTTTCCCCAAGAACTATTACTTTGTGGAACAGACAATATAATCTTAATTCTTCAAGCCAAGACGCAATGGTTATAAATCTAAATCGTTATCTTCACTTTCTCCAACCTCTTCTTACATTCTTATATTCTTTGTATATCATATACCTTATTCAATAACTCTCTACCATGAGTGGCTCCCGAGCCTTGTATTAAAAGAACTGTAGTAAAAAATGGGCATGAAGCAAAAAAAAAACTGCATGCTAGTTAGTTTCGACGGTCTGACCCGGTAACCATAGCGTGCATATTCCCTCTACATCTTATTACCTCTGATGTAATTCAACAAAACGTAAATAGGTACCCGGTTATCTCGCGAGATAAAGGTTGCGCAATGTTTTATCAAAATTCGGTCCTTTGGTGGTGAGACGGGAGTGGCCTCTCCAGGGCGCAGACCTGAACGATGGTTTATGAAGACTGTGCACTGCCCAGACTACATGACCCCTTCTAGACCATACTGACGAAATCCAAAGGAAGACATTATATTTGGGGCCGGCTTGGCTGCAGGAGTTGCCTAAAAGTTGTCAGTGTTGACAGCCAACCGCCTTCGGAGCTCCACTCCAGGTTTTTTTTTCTTTTGTCTGGACGTACTTTCATAGCCTTTTCTGTGTTTGGATATAACCGCAGGATAGCGGAGGCTTAAAAACAGGATTTTCCTTCCCTTAGATGGACTGCCTCCCAGTGCTGTCGAGCTCTATCTACAAAAATCAGCTGGTTATGAAGTACCAGTTGTCCGCCTTCACCCATTCTCCGGCTTGGAGATGAACGTACACATCTACATATTTAAAGCAAAACGTAAATACATAACATTTACTCTGTTGCTCTAACTCTGCTCCGTTTATCACTGCAAATTTAATATAGGGTCCGCCAAAACGCCCCAAAACCTAAAAAGGGGGCGCTGGAGGTGAAAAAATTATGAATCACAGCTCTAAAGTAAGGATTGACAGTTGTAGTTGTAATATTGATTCTGATCCTGTACTAATCACTCGTAGGACACCTGAAATATCGAGTTTTCAACCAGAATTTTCTTCAGATTGCTCAAAGCAAAATGAGTGAATTTTGTACCAAATGTAGAGGGTTTTTTTTTTCTTTTTTTGCTCTGACGAATTAATTTTATTCATAAATATGGTGAATGCGTCTTACCTCTCATTGAGAAAAATGTTTTGTTGTTTTTCGAGCGAAATGGAGGTTACAGATATCTGCGTTTTCGGCAAAGATGACCAATAGGACTTAAGCACAGGTAGTTTGTTCAACTGGAAATAAAAACAGCACCCGGATGTGGCTTCAGAATTACCTGAGGGGGAAAGAAACAGAAAAGTATGTTTGACTTGTATTCACTGTAAGATACACAACAATATTTTGACCACTTAAGAATTACACGCCAATCTTACACGTAGCGAAATGAAAACGAAACACGTTATCTGGTCCTATGATTTAAGAACACGTATACATATATATTTAAATCACAGGACCAGATGATGCGATTATATACAGTCCAGAAAATGAGATTAAGGCTCACTACAAATACAGAAAACGAGTAATGAAACATTACAAGAACATAAGAAAAATTTATTTCTTTAAAAATTTATTCCTTTTACTTATCTGAAGAAGGCCACGAAACCGGAAACGCGTTTAGAAGAAATATGAAGAATAAAATATAATATATACACTAAAACAATACCAGATTATAACCAAAAATATTTGCGGTTTCTCTCTTAAATATACATTTTTCTCTCCTTCGAACAACTATAACCTTTTCCCTTTAGTGATTTTCCAAGCGTAGCTCAGATGTAGCACAAGGCCGAAAGTAGGGGGCACCCAGTGAGGATCGAAATCACTACTCAGTCGTAAATGTTCTAGCGATACAAGCTTGCTAACCATTACACCATCTCGAGGTGCCCTAACCTAACCAACAGAAACCGGAGAAATACACTCTTTTCTGACTACTACATCTAGCTATTCGCTTTCATACATTTCATATTTAACAGTCACTATATATATATATATATATATATATATATATATATATATATATAGATATATCGTGCATTTCTCCGGTTTCTGTTGTCCTATATTTCCCTTCTACCGGAAACAGTCAGCTGATTTGTTGTTTGACATCTCAATCTTAATTCTATATTGCAAATAAGCGTTAATTCAGAGTCACTGCAAGAGTTGTATTTTAACGTCCCTAGCACTAAAGAGATCACTGCTTCGTCTAACAAATAGTATATATTGCGTTTTGTACTTTCGAACCTATTGTAATGTTTCTTTTTAATTGTCCTTTTTATTTAAAAAAAAATCCTTATCTCCAACATCCTCTGCTCTGAAATCGTACCTAGCATAGCACGTAAACTACAAGACAACAATTCTAAGCAATGTACGGGGTGGTCTGAAAGTCTTGTCACCCCTACCAAAAAAAAAAAATAATGAGAACAATAGAACAAGTAATACAAAGCATATGTATTGGATTCAGTTTAATCATTTTTATTGACGCTGTCACAATCCGAGAAGGTTTGTATGAACACCATCATTTTCGGGGTACAGAATGATGCGGCGCCATGTCCTGTGTGATATTTTACGAGGCTGTGCTTTGTTGAGTGTTGCAAAGGCCCTCCGAACGGCGTCCTTCAAATGACGGGTGTTCTGGTATCGTTCATGTGAAACTCTTTCCTTGATAATATCCAAGAAATAGAAAATTTTGTTAAATTTTGGATTTTTGGACTACGCTGTACTTCGAGTTTTCAAATGTAATGAAACCTGTACTTTTTAGCAAGAACCATCCTTCTTCGAACCTCCTGGACTGGCGCTACAGAATCACTAACAAAAGAAATGTACCAAGTAATACAAAAAACATCCCTTGACGATTTTTAACGACAGAAACAATTAAAATAGAACGTTTAATTCAAAGAGAAAATAATGACATAATCGACATATTGATATTCCGCACCACTTCAAACGAAAGGCTAGGAAGGAAACTCCCATTAATACTGGAAAGAGTAATAACAGTTACAGGATTTGTGAAACCTATTTTCCTGAATAAATGTTTTAAGAAAAAGATTTTATAAACTTTAACCCAAACTTACTTGGTCAATAAATGCTGAATGTTTGTTTTAAATAGGGAAATGGTTAATTTTACCATTAGAAAAGATATATATTGATTTGTTTCCTTCTATTGGATATCTTTTTTATCTTCTTTACGTTGTTCTGAATTACCTGCTGCGCTCTGGATAACAACTGATATGAAGAAAAATTCGTAATAATTTAAAAAATGAATACCATTTTTTAAATTTCTTCGCAGTTTATGCAATATCTTAGCTCTGAGGTAAAGGAATAGATTGGTATTTGTTCGACGAAACCAATTTTTGGACGAGATTTCGTGGAGCACTTCGAGAGAGAGGTATAAAAGATATCGGCCATTTTTATTCCGGATAAAAAAAAGAATATTTGAGTTTTTAGTTCTTGTAGGGAATTCCACAGTTGCAAGTGCAGAAAAAAATTTAAATTTGAAAAATTTATCTTGCGCCTGTAATAAACCATTTTTTTTTTAATAATAAAATACATACCGTATATACTCGTATATGAGTCGACTTCATGTATAGTACGACTCCTGAATGTTTTGGCATTAATCCCACCCACTGCCAGAAAATATACTACTTACAGAAAATGCATGAATTTTCACCTCTTCGCAAAAATTACCCGTGTATAACCCTAGAGTTTAAGTTTGATGGAACCTACACTCGGATGATGAGATCTATATTTAACATCACCTAGAGATAACATCCAACTAAGTTACCACTCTATGGACACATCCCTGATATTTCTACAATCTTACGCGTACGCAGGATGCCCTTTGCAGGATACTACTGACGAGCAAATGAAGAACATGCAAGTGATCCACTGTTCTGGACACCCAGCCATGGATCAAGACAAGTTGGTCACCCAGCAACCATCTACATTGACCAAATCATGTTATGACACAGAATGCCTCCCTAATGACCTTCCAAACTTGATGCAGTACTGTGATGGACAAATTAATGTCTGAGCTAACGTGTTCGAAAAAAAAAAAGAAATAGTGCGAGCCCCAATTTTTGGCGCAAAAAGTGATCATAAAAACTCGCATTATACTTGAGTATACATGTCATAATTGACGCATGCATTTTTGTTTGAGGCTTGAGGAGTAAGAAATCACAAAACTCTTAGTCGACCTCCGATAAATATTGCGAACTTTATTTTTGATAAAATAATTGTTTTCTCTTTTCTGTTGGTTTCAATCATAACACCGTGGCCGATAGATTCTTCAAACCATTACATTCAGATTGCATAAATTCAGGACAAATAAATTTTTGAACGAGATTCGTATCTTGCGTAAATATTATTTACTCGGTCATGAAGCAACGACTCTATCATACCAGTTATTAATGTACCATCATCGGGTAGAGTTTACATCTACGTAAACCTCGTCATCACAGAGCTTTCTCTGAAAAGAAATATCAGTTTACTTACCTATTATATAAGCATATGTCTTAAGATCGTTAGTCAAGGATTTGCTGTTACTGACAACACTGATCACAGGTGCCCAAGAGCAAGAGAGATGGTAGCCAGCGGAGAGTTGCAATTCGCACAAACTATCTCCTTCAAAAACATCCACCAATACTACAACTCCGTTACTGAACGTGATCAGCACCTGAGTAAAGAAAAAAGAAAATATCAGATATTTACTCAGTAATATATTGTTTTAATCAATGTTTGCTTTATTGTGTATGTTCCGCTATTGTAGGCGCGTGGCAAAACAGTTAGAACGTTCGCTTTCTGTTTTCAGCTTTGTTTAGCTTCTCTGAACTTTTCGGTATTGTGACATCACCCTGGCCCTGCCCCCGTGCTATCCTGTGACGATCTAACTCTTGGCTGATTCGGATGGAAATCTGGTTAGATTCGGCATCAGCTTTGTCGTTCCCAGCTCGCATCCAACGTCTGGTTACCGAAGTAACTGCTTTGATTTCTAGTCTAACCTACCCACGTTGTGATTTGATCTTAGGTAGACGAAATCAATCAGTCGTCGGGCCGTATTGCAAGCCGAATTCGAGCAAAGGTGACACCGCACAAGTATATGTAAAAGAAAATAAAGTAACAACTCGAAAGATTCAAATGTGTTAAAAAAAAGAATAACAAGTATCTTTATATCTGGTTGCTGAATACAGGACAGCGTCTTTCTCCCAAACCGCTTCTATGGATACGTGACACTTTGAGTTTCTTAGGCGAGTCTTAATATCTAAGTTGTTTTTCAATAAATTGGTTTTTGGTATCTTCAGGCGATATTCGTAAAACTTGTTTTGGTGGTGTGAGTCTAAGGCGTTCTTCAAAAAAAAATTGTTTTTGGTTAGAAGTCTAAGTCGGAATGCGTAGAAATCTTTCAGTCAGCTCCTGTGGGTCTGGTCTCCGAGCTCACAGCTCAACTCTGCTACGTAACTCTACTCCGTAACGCTGTCTACTCTGTAACTAACTGTCTCTACTTTGGGAACGTTCGTTTATATGGACGCCGACCAAAACCGGGTGGGGGCCTGCCGTGGTTTGGGTTCCTCGATAATTCTAAATTCGCAATAAGGATTTTCTTTGTTTTCGGACAGGAAAATTTATCACTTCCCATTTTTGGAAGCCAATTACTTTCTGTTTTAGAGGGGTACTTAAGGGAATTGTCCTCCCAAATTCTTCCTTTCTCATATTGGTATCTCACACCAATCCCCTCAGAGGCGTCAACAGATTTTCCTTCTTTCTCATATGTTTACCTTCGTTCATCGCTCACGCCACCATTCAGCCAATGAACGCTCGGCAGTGTGGGTGTGGCTGGACTGGCCTCAGTTTACAATTATTGCTCAAAGAAAAAAATTATCTTCCTTTTTCTTTTCTTTCTTTTTTACCGACTAAGACCCTCACGACTCGTACTGTGGTCATTAAATCTTTATCTTAACTGAATGTCATCTGGAATTCATCAACGAGATTTTCGCCAAGTGATTATCTGGGTGGTCAACTGAATCTCTTTGTCTTCCTCAACGTCTTCGTACTTCTGTCGCCAACAGTCTTTCCAGGTAACAAACTTTTATCATGGCAAGTTCTTGACATAAAACAGATGGTCCTCTTCCAAAACCAAACGATATCTCCGAAAGATAGTTAATGGTTTATTCTTTTCCTTTTCCTCTTCTTCCTTCCTTTTTCTTTGGGGTGGTCTCAGCTGATACTTTTCTCGGTCGCATGCTCGACCTAATTCTGATTATTTTGTCTAATTTGAAATTTTCATTATTGCCATGGGCAGATTGCTATCTTTTATTCTCCGCGTCATGGCATAAATTAATTCTGACAGATCCGAGATCTTACGAATTTCCTATCTTCTGCGAAAAAAAAATACTTTTCTTCGCAAATGAAAATAAAATCTTTACCACATCGCCCAGTATGTCTTTCATGATAGCTTCTTCTCGCCTAAATATTTCTCGCTTTTAATTTCCACGCTTAATTAGTTAGCCAAACGCTAATTAGTGTCACAGTATATTCGACTTGTTGGAACTGCTGATCAAACAAAGAGTATTGCATAGATCAGGTGGAGCCAAACCGCAGCTCGCACATACGGCGTTTTGACCTCTAATATGCAGATCGTGGAAATATATTGGCTTGGTTGAGCTCCTTTTTTTCATAGCAGTTAATATGAAAGCTAAATTCCCATACATCATTAACATATTAAATACGCTCAGCATAGATAAAACAATCATTAGTCAAGATTTTGAAAACATTTGGTATATATACGTGTATGTTGTGATTACTGAGACCAATTCAAATTAACAGTTTAAAAACTGTATACATGAATAATTATTATTGAATTTCTTAATATTTATATAAAAAATTTGTGACAAAATCTGTATGTAAGAAAAGCATATAAATCTGTGTGTAAGAAAAGTGTGCAAATTTTATTCACGTCTTGCGGCTCTCAGACATCTGAATTTTATCGTGTGTGGCTCTTACATCGAGCAAGTTTGGTCAGCAAGTTTGGTCAGCCTTGGCATCGATCAAAGCAAGTACAAATCTGAAGGTGATGGTTCTGCATATCGTTCGTTGCATGTTTAAAGAATTTCCTATCCCAACTCATGATCACTCACGAAGTCGTATTTAAAAACATCAGGTTGATGTTGTTATGTACAGTCACTAGACAACTTCCTTGTTTACAAGTAATTCTTTTTTTGGTTTCATTGGAGCAAGCTTCTCGTTCAATGCAGCGTTGCACAAATACAGTTTGTCCGTATATCATTCAGAAATGAATATTAGCTTTGTTTAAAATCTTTGTTTGAAAGTCAAACAGAATTCCGTTTGTATTACGTCGAATGTTCACCTGAATCTAAAACATTTTTTCATCATTTTGGATTCTCGTAATAAATCCATTTTTCTTCGTCAGTCATTGTCCAATTTAAAACTGGACTTTTTATCTTCTGTGTCTAACGCAAGAGAAAGACAAGCGTTTAAAAACTCATTGGTTCTTTTCCATAAAATCCAGTTTCCTAACGTGAGATTTTTTTTTCCTGACGCTTATAAACCATATAATAATGTTTGATTGCACAAATAATAAAGAGTTGAGCAAGTGTAAAAGACATTCTGACGATATCTCGATCAGTTTCTACTTACTATCTATGAGCTGAAAACCTATCGGTTGCAGAATCGTCTTCAAAACAAGCCTTAATTGATCTTTGCTAGCGGCGAAGAGGAAATGTCACATTCGTCAGCGCCCTCGTTTTGACTTACCAGTTCGTTCTTGCCTGGAATCGGTATCAAACGCATGACTAATATGTCGTCACTGTGTGCCCTGGATGAATAGAAAAAAAAATTAATGTGTGTCAAGTATGGTTGACTGGAAGTAATTTGTCATCACTATGCAAAGACAACGTGATAGCCTTTAGTTTCAACTTAGGATTCTATCATTTTTGTGCGTATTTTTGTCGGGCGGGGGTGTCATACCGAATGTCTTGGGATGAAAAGTGACTAATACGATACTCTCAGCTGTTTCCTTTGGCTGGAAGAGGTTGAAGTGCTCTGAAGAAGACGGAGTCTTGTTCAGGAAAGTTATTCGGTTTATTGTTCCCATCGTTCTTGGATCGATACTGAAACTATTCTAGGCGAATGGCTATCATTAACATTTTATCAGGCTGTAGTCTCGATTATCGGTGTTGCTCTTGCAAACGCTTCCAACAACATGCCACAAATTTATCATAAAGTAACTGTATCAAATGATAAGCCTTTTCCATTCGTTTCCATTGAGAGAACCGCCTATTTTTATTGAAAATTCCAACGTTTCTACGGAAACATACTTCTCCAAGAAATAATTTTTGTTATACATATATATATATATATATATATATATATATATTATGAAATGGACAATTATTTTAAGACATTTTTATGTTTATACATTCTTTTTATAGATACAAATATTTAAGTAAATGCTCTGTTTATAATAAACAGTATTAAACAACATTTACCGGCCTGAATGTCCGAAAAATTTTCACAGAAAATATACGTCCTCCGACAGGATTCGAACCTGTATCGTACACGGAGCCGTCGCATAGCCTGACGTGCCCTTACCGATTTGTTTACATGTGATATGCCATGAGCAGATATGAATGTACGTGAGAGAATCATGGAAGTTTAAAGGCAGTAAAATTCGACCTTGCTAACCGAACGCGCCTCTGTGTCCAAATCGGTAAAGGCACGTCAAGCTAAATGACGGTTCCGTATAGGATACAGATTCGAATCCTGTTGGAGGACAAATATTTTCTGTGAAAATTTATATATATATATATATATATATATATATATATACAGTTTGCTTATAGTGTCCTTTTATAGTCCCAGTAAAAAGAAATAGCCCTCTCAAAGAGGAGAATAACAAAACAAGGGGAGACCAATCCTGACTATTCATAAAAAATTCCTGCTTGTTAGTAGCAATGAACTATAGGAGTAAATAACTGTATTTAAGCTGGTTTGGTTAAATAATTTAGACATGTCGATTAGTTTTCGTTGTATTCTTCACACTCACAGATTAGACGGATATTAGTTTAAAATACATCTATATTACATAAAAACAATAATAAGCAAAAACCAAAAATCCTTGAAGCCCTTTATATAAGAGAATTAAAACCCCAAATAATCAAAGTCCATAATGCTTATATATATATATATATATATATATATATATATATATATATATATATATATATATATATATATATAAATTATATATGTATGAGCAAAAATGAAAAAATTACTTCCCTTTAACTGTTAAAAAAAAAAAAACGCGTGGTCTTTGAACTTTGAAAACTAGGTACAGTTGAAATGTTTTGAATTTACAGAAACACACATACATACTCACAGACAACTTAACCCCCTGATGGTCTCATATGAGATTAAAAGTACTTGGGAAAATAAAGCTATTTGAAAGAATATTTTGGTATTTGTCTTAACCAATTTTCAAAAGCTACCAAGAAATTAATCCGCGAACATGAAACGAAAACTAATCGGCGTAATATGTCTAAATTATTTAACCAAACCTGTTTAAATTAAAATACGCGGCCTAAATAAACACACACATATATATATATATATATATATATATATATATATATATATATATATATATATATATATATTGTAATGACAAAAGTACGCAGGTGTAGGCTTTAAGAAAGCTTTATTCAACTGAGAATACAAGTTTCGCGTATAGTGTCCTTTTATAGTCCCAGTAAACAGAAATAGCTCTCTCAAAAGAGTAGAGTAGCAAAAACAAAGGGTGACTACTCTTCATTTTACTCATAACATAAATATATATATATATATATATATATATATATATATATATATATATATATATATAATAGGAATCCGACAAAGCTTTTAAGAATTTGACAAATGGCAAACGTTTCATTAAAAATAGATTTAATTACGCGTTTCGCCATTCCAGGCTTCATCAAATCCCAAAACGGAAGAAAGAAGTGTGTGCATGTGTATTTGTGTGTAGGCTTAAATAATGAACCATAGTACTTCTTCCCTAAACTGGCGTTTCTTGCGATTAAAGAAAATGAGTCAATTTTCAAAAGGCCGTTAATATTTATTCTGTATCTTTTCTTTCGGTATATATAAACTATCAATAAGGCACTTTAGATCATGAATAAAAAGCAATAATATTTTTTCTAAATTTATGCGGGGGCGTAAGATTGCTGTGCGAATTCATTGTAAATTGATCCTCTAAGCGAATCCCCAAAAAAGATACTCATACCACACGACACCACTATAGCAGTTTTAGATAAATAAAATATGTTTTAAATTATTGAGAATTTTATAGATGAGTATTATTTTAAAACGTCACAGAAAGAAGATAAGTAAGAATGTTTTAAATAATATAAATATTACCAATTTATTGTTGTAACTTGAAATTTTATTAGGTAAGTAAAAACAGACATTAAATTCAAAAAGGGTCTTTCAATACCTTGGACATATTTTAAATGTGAATTAAGTTAAAGCGTCTAATGATTTTTTTTTTCTTTTTCTTTCAGATTTAACAACTTTAAGACTTTGGCAATTTCAACCACGGAAAGATTAACAATCAAACAATGTGTTAAAGTTTCAAGAGTGCAATTGAAAAAATTGTTCGTCAATTCAAACAAACTGGGTCGGTGGCAGACGTAAAAAGCACCACTGCATGCTCGTTTACACCGTTCAGCTGAAAACATTGCTGCAGTGCACGAGAATGTGGCCAAAGATCCAGACACCTCTATTCGTCATCGCGGGCAGGAATTGAACCTCTCCGCAACAACGTTACATCGTTTCCAATTGCACTCTCGGTTGGTCGATTATGCTGACCCCAAAAACGCAAAGTGCACGAAATGCATTTCTGTTTGAACGTTCCCCTTTATCGGTCGGATCGAGTCGGGAAACCCTTCCGACTACCTTCACACAGTTTAGCCGTGTGTGAGATTTGGATGTAGGCCGTGGACCGGTTTCGTATTGCAATTCACCTGTGTAAAGCAAGGTTGATCGCTTCTCTACAAAAGTACTACCACTGACAATACATCCTCAGTGTAACTTAAGCAACTAAAAAAGAAATGGAAACTTAAACCGTTATTAAATACTTTATTTTATACTATATTTAAAAATTCTACTAGTCTAGTTTCATTGAAATCCCTTTACTATTTATTAGACCCCTGAATAAAACTTTAAGCAATTTGATGTGCACCCCCACATTAGAAACGACTGTGTCACATCCTAACCTCGTAGGAGGTGGGTAAATAGTCATTTAAATAGCCTAAGTACTGATTCTTGCTAAAAAGTTAGGCAGTCCGAGTACTAGTCAAAAATCTTAGGCGCATATAAAAAATAGTATTGTTTACTCATGCTGTCAAAAATGGCGGCATATTTTGTTAAACACTTTATTTTCGCATACGAGTATTTAAATATGTTTCTCTCCATCATTATTGATGTACTACAATCTTTCAGAGCCCGACTTCGTAAATATCACCAATATCATTTTTTTAAAAAGTCTGTCTCATGTAGTTGAAAGTGCAATGAAAAAAATAATATCAGCAAAATGAAATTACGGACAAAAATATGTAAGCCGTATAACATAAAAAGATTTTTAAAAAATATTTTAACTTAAGCTTTTAAAATGTACTTTTTTTCTTTAGGTATTTTTTCTACTTACACTTAGAATCCGAGGATGGAAAGCTTCTTGAAATATGATTTTATATAACAATGTAGTTTTATTGATTTATGAAGATGAAACATGGGATAGACCGATACGCAAGTTATAAACTAAATAACTTGTCAAAAAAATAACGCTTGCCCTCTTCACGACTATTAGAAACAGTTATATATATCCGTGTATAAGTCGATTTCGTGTGTAGGTCAAGCGTTAATTTTTTGACAAATTATTTAGCTTATAACTTGCGTATCGGTCGATCTTACGTTTCACCTTTATAAATCAACAAAACTATATTGTTTTATAAAACAAATCTCAAGAAACTTTTAATCTCTAGATTCTAAGTAACATTCTCAACACCAACTGATCCTCTCAAGCAGGGCCTCTTCTATTGCTGATAAAAGAGGAATGAAGCAATCAGTCTCTGAGACGTCTAAAAAGCCGAAAGAAACTGGGCAAATAGTTTTATTAATCTCATATACGCGTAAGAGTCCCACTTTAAATTCAATCGTTTCAGTGAGTGTGCTAATAAATAGCCTTTGTATAGTTGACATTTCTGATGACACATTCGTTTTATTATTGTTACTTTTGAAGTTAAAGGAAACAGAATATATTGAATGGCAACGTGATTTACTGCAACATGTTTATACTCAAAATATTGTTTACACTATTTACATTGTTCGGACTGTTGTTCTCATTTTTGTCATATTCATGATGTTTCGGCCATTATGCGCCCGGCCTCGTTCAGGTGATATACGTTGGAATTTCGAACCGAACCATTTATGTAGTCCACGGGTGTGAATTGTCCTAGTTCCACGTTCCATGCATTTTCTGGACTTCAGTTTCAGTTAATTCCCTTTTAGTAACTCAACTCTCCAAGTTTTTTTTTTTTTTTTTTTGTTCACCTCTGTTGTGGCCATGTATTGAACTCACACCTCTTTGGGTCAAGTCGCTTTTTGGATATCCAATGGATAAAGCGTTGAAGTAATTCCAATGTATATCACCCGAAGAAGGCCGGCTCGTACAACGGCCAAAACGTCGTGAATATGACAATAAAGATAGGGACAACAGTCCGAAGAATGTAAATACCGTAGTTACAATACCTCATCTCAGAAATATAGACAGATATCGAAATATTGTGTTAAAGAAACTCTTACATTGCGATTGGCGCTGTAGATAAGATTCGAAATATATACGTACGCATTAAGAAGCTCATTGCCGTTGAGTCATCGTGACCGAGCTAATCAAACAAGTTCGATTCTGACCAGGTACCCTATACTTAAGGCTTTGTGTCAAAACTAAGCTTAGCTTATAATTGTTCTCATTTCTAACAAGGGAAGAAAGCAGAAGATCAATTATTATTTTAACTTAATTTTGCCTCTTAGTTTAATACTCGGAAAATACTGAGAATGCTGCCATATATGGTCTGGAGTCCCCGCTGTAAGTCTCGAGGTCCTCGACAAATTCCAGAGGTGGATATGCAATGTGATATGTCCTGATCTGGCATCTAGTCTACAATCGCTTTCTCACAGGCGTGCTGTGGCTTTCATCTGTCTCTTCTATAAGTATTTTCATGGCAACTGTTCCGGGGAATTGTTTTCGCTGGTTTCTAGACTGCATGAATTTAAGCGAGCTACTAGTTTGGCATCTCGATCCCACCCTTTCACTGTCAAAACGGATAAATGTAACTGTCTCTTCTACTCAAACGGCTTCTTCTCTCGCACTTCCTCTTACTTACTTCCCTGATAATTATAATCTTCAAATATTCAAGTGTAATGTCAATCGGCATCTTCTGATACCTTGATCTTGTTCCCCGTCCTTCCCTTTATCCTCTCCCTTAACTCTTATTCTCTACCCTCTGTAACCCCTTGCGTTCTAATGGCACTCCCGCCTTGCTTCGGGTGAAATGCTTTAAAAAAAAAATAAATAAATAAATAAAAATAAAAACAAGAAAATGTAGAGCCATGTAAACTGTTTGATATTCTCTAGAAGTCACTTGCAACATTGCTTAAATATGGCGTCATTCTTTGACGTCACAGATAAACTCGTATGATAACTTACCTTGAAGTTAGATTATATAACGTCTTCATAACTTTCAAATGATTTCCAGACTTATCGTCGAACAATTTTTATTGAGTGTGCGGGTGGTGTAAGGGATTTTGGCTCTGAACAGGAAATCGGAGAGCAGAGTTAACATTTCAGTAGAGTTTCTTTACATTCACTTTCGCACAAAAAACCCCTTGGGAACGGTATGAATCCAGTTATGGGTTAAATAGTAGAGCAGATTGAATTTTTCAGTCTTGGGCGGCAACCAGTCTGGGAGGGCAACGCTGAATTCCCAACCGTATGTAAGTCCTGGCGCTGCACATACTATGCAGCTAATGAAAAAATCGTGGAGTTTGCAATGACTATGATACCAACTTCAGTCGGCCTTGATTGCCCATTGAGGCCCCTAAATGAGACCCAAAAAATGGCTGTTTCTGTTACTTGATTTCTGCTTAGAAAAACTATAATTATAATAATCATTTTTTTCAAGTGTTATCTTTTTTCTTTCTTTCGAATTTGTTCTAGCGTTAAAACAATCTATAAATAGCAAGTCTTCGTGGAGTCTACCGTAAAAGTGTACGAGTGGGCGTCGTTTTTTTATTCCAATGGAAAGGTACTACACATGAGTTAGAATCTCTGGGGGATCAGGCTTACTTTATTTATGCGGAATTTCGTGCTAAATGAGGTACGACTGATTCCTGCCAAATTATGTATAAAAACCGAAAAGGGACTGATGCTTAAAATCTTCTGTCCACCGTTTCACATTTTGTATTGTTGCTGGTCGGATGTGCAGGTCGCATAACTTAATTACTCAGCCCTGGGTATGACGATCAACTACATCCGGCAGAAAAGCCTCTGATAAGGAGAGTGGAGATTTTGAGTGTGGAACCACCTCTAAATTGCTGTTGTTTCCAGGTCTGCCTTGACCTCGGGTAGTAGCACATGTTAGGGTCTTAGCTATAGACAAATAATGACCCCCCCCCAACAGAAATAAAACACTAAGTATAAAAATACCTATTTATAGCAAAATGACCAACAATACATTTTATAGCAAAATGACCAACAATACATTTTATCTGTAGTTGAAAATATGCAATTGCGTTCAAAATATTTAGATTTCGGCATTAAATAACCTATAGAGGTATCGATATGCCGCTAAACAAAATCATCCAACCCACTAACAAGAAAGAACTCTTTCATGACATTAATCCATATAATATCTTACAATTTCTTTTAAAAAAATCAAACTATTCTAGAATATAACTTAAACAAAACTACAACATAAAACATATATACAACCGCATCTATATACACAAAAGCTGAGTATCATCTACCATGTATTCAATTGTGAAAGCAGAATAACATATGTTTTTATTACTTCAAGGTCTTGTAGGGATGATGTTCATGATATTATTATTATAAATGATAAATAAAATAAAGCAATAACATAAAAACGCTGTATAAAATAAATTAAATAAAAATTAAAATTAATGAAAAATACTCCCAGCATGCAAAAAAAAAATCACTGTTTCTCCAAGAAATATGGACATCCCACCAAAAGACGTTAAATTTAATCTCTTCATAACAAACCTTCTTTGTGTGACATGGCTTGTAATACTGCGGAGTAAATTTATCCGTTTTATTACCTGTACCATAAAACAATTGTAACCTAAAAAATACACCCACCAATACACACAAAATATAAATAAATTGTATGAAATTAGCATACAATTTACCATGCGTTTCCTGTTATTTGTGTATGTTTTATTTCCTGGAAGTATGCTTTTAAGTTCATGAACACAAGGCTAATTTCGGCCACTATGATATGAGTGAGAAACCACGCACAACCCTCAGAAAATTAAATTACGACATTAAATAACCCATAATGAGTTGATATGTCGTTAAGCAAAACAAAAAAAAAACAAACAAAAAAACTATTTACTCGGCAAAAAATTCCAATCCTGCATCCACTTCTCCTTGGAGAAAGATATAAATCTATTCTTTCTCTCCTTCTAGCTATGAGTAAATAGTAGGGTAGACTAGATTGTTTAGCTTTATCAAGTAAACCAATCTCAGAGGACGAAACTCGGAGTTCAAAATTGTGGAGAATGGCAACAGGAAATAATTATCTTTCTTAATAATAGGCATGGTAATACGCTGCTTGCATATATTAATCCATAGAGAGCCATGATCGCCTACATCACGAAGAGAAAGTTTTTTTTAAATGGGCTACATTTTTAATTTTACCTTGTCATAATAAGACAAGGTAAAATTAAAAATGGAAAATAAATTAAGTAGTAGCACAATTAAAAAATCGTTTTTGTTTTTTAGTTTTTTTAATTTTGCCTTGTCATAATAAGGATGGACACGGGTTCGAAACACACCATGGTCGATTTGTCAGGAAGGTGACTTATTGATATTATCGTACTTGGGGAGGTAATCTCAACATGTGGTACATTTGCATGCCACGGGTTTTCCCACCTCTTGTGAGTGAGATTGGGAGCCGTCGACTGTTGTGCCAGCACGAAGTCACAATTCATCGTGACCGAGGATTTGAGTGTGCTGGCTTTGCTCATACTGTTGATCGCGCTAGATAACGCGCGCTCTCCCAGAAACTGTAACTAAGGAGCGCTCTGCATAGTCGTAGTATGTGTGTTGAACAAACGCAAATGTGCCTGAACAAGCGTCTTCTAGCCGCCTTAGTAGACGGGCAACCTCGGATACGAGTGGTCATCCATCCATCCTTCGATACTAAGAATAAGAAATTTATAAACATTTTTCTTTAAAGTCACTTATCATTCGATTATTTATTGTTAACATTATATTTCCGTTCTTCTTTAAATGGCACCTAATAAAAGATCGCTAACTTGGTTTCTTAATAACTTCGGCAGATGCATAGAAAAATGCCGGATGACTAAGGCAGTCAAATCCCAATCAGTTGTTATTCACTAAGCTTAGGTTAGTTTCAGCACAAGGACAGGCCTGAGAAGTTGAGAGACCAAAAGAATACTTACTCAGGTAATATAGTGATGGCAGTTAAAGGTTCAGAGGCGGAAGAAGTGATGCGCTGTGTTGCACCATTCCTTTGAGTAGCGATGATGTCACAGGCGAAGTCTCCCTTTTGAGTAGGATCTTTGTATCTTTCTGAATAAATAAAGTGAAGCTGCCGAACTGGGCTTGGTCCACCGAGGTAATGTACTCCACGCATAATACCTGAAATAACGTATTGAAAATATTTTAACACATTTATACATTATCCCCAACTAGTCGGGTATGGTTTTAATCAGTGTAACATAATGATCAGTTCAAAAATCTTCGTAACGGTAGAGAAATAATCTGTCCGGAGCAGATTAACACTACGCCCATATAAATGGGCTAACTTGAATAATTTTTAATTAGAATAATGACATTATCTTGTCTTTATTCTAATTAAAAATTCTTTACATTATTTTTTGTAATTGTTTACATTATTTACACTATTCGGACTACTGTCCTCATCTTTGTCGCCATATTTATTACAATGTTTCGGCCTTTTTCAGGTGGTTGGAATGTCGAACTGAACCTTTTATTTCGCTCACTGGGGTAGACTGTTCTAGTTCCACGTGCCATGTTTAATGGGTGTCAGTTATCAGTTGTAGACTGTTCTAGTTCCACGTGCCATGTTTAATGGGTGTCAGTTATCAGTTTAAATCCAGTTTAAATCCTCTTAATTTCCCTCTGAAAGTTCTCCACTGCCTTAACCGGGTATTGAACTGTCACTGGATCTAACCAACGCCTTATCCACTGTGCCATGTGTCCTTGAGGACATCTGTTTATGAATTTCTGGGTATTATAAACCTAATGTCTTCAGCAATCATTTTTACCAGTGCTCATATTGCAATTTTTGCTGTTATCATTTCATGTTTTTACCAGAGCTCATATTGAAACTTTTGTTGTTATTATTGCTTTTCTCTAGCACTCTTTATTACTGGTTCTCATATTGTATTCATTTCTATGCTTGGTAGGAGATTTTTGTGGCCTAGCATATGTGCTGATTCCTTAAGTTTACAAATTTTCCAATGGCGTTCCTTGCTTATGATCTCAACCTGGTCCCACAGAGGGCGGTGATCTCTCTTTTCTCTCTATATGTGATCAGCCACGCCTGATTTCTTCCACTTCCCCTCGTGTTACAGCTTTCTGGTGTTCTTGAAGCCTTACCTTGAGGGGGCGGCCTGTCTCCCCTTTATATTTCTTTCCGCAGCTGCACGGAATAGTGTACGCACAGTCTTTAGTCATGTTCTCCTCTATGGGGGGGGGTCTTACTCGGGAGAGATATCTGCGAAGTGTCGTCAAGCTTTTCAAAGTTTGTCCTGATGTTAAATGGATCGCAGTGGAGAACTTTCAGAGGGAAATTAACAGGAGATAACTGATAACTGACATCCATTAAACATGGCACGTGGAACTAGACCAGTCTACCCCAGTGAGCGAAATAAAGGTTTCAGTTCGATATGTAATAAATATGGCGACAAAGATGAGGACAATAGTCCGAATAATGTAAATAATGTACATAATACCTCATCTCAGGAATATAGACAGATAATGTTGTTGTTCATTAAAATAGATAAAATAGCAACAAAGTATTGTAGATTTTACAAATACAAAACGGGCCTCAACTTCAAAAAAAATTCAGCGAGTACGAGATTAACAGCAAAGTTCCGTCATTTTACTGTTGAATTTGGTAAATATAACCGTAAGTTCTATTCTAATAGTTTCTTCTCTCGCACTTCGCACCTGTAGAGCTCTTTTGGTTTCATGCTTTCTTATTAACGTTTTCTTCTTTCTGACGTGTCTCCTCGGGACATAGACGATCATGGCCCTCCACAACTTCCTGTCCTTTGTATCTCTTAACAAATTTTGTCTTTCTGTTGTTTCTCCCAAATCCTTTTACGCCATCCATTTACTCGAGCTCACTAATGCGTTCTTTTCGTTTCTCTTGTCTTCAGGAGTATCAGATTCTCCAAGCCCTCTTTCCTCATAATCTGTCCAAGAAATTTCAACTGCCTCTTCCTGATAAGTAAAAGTTTCCTTTTTGCGTCCATTTTCTCTAAACTTTCGCTCACATAGCCTGCCTGCATTAGTTCCTTATTTCTTAGTGTAGTTGTCCTATATTCTGTCTTGTGTCTTGCCATGCTTTTTGTCTCCTTTTCATCATATCGAGAATTTCATCAGTCATCCATTCCTTTGTTATTTTTTTTTTTGGGGTGGGGGGGTTGGGGATTTGAGGGGGGGGTTGTCTATTTTCCTTTGGGATAATTTAGATTGCTGATGTTACTTCAATTTCACTTAATGCTCCTATTCGAGTTTCCATTTTCATTTTGTCCTGCATGTCTGCTCTTCACACTATCTATATATTTCTCCTTCAGATTCGGGTCGTTGAAGAGTCTATGATATTGCAATTTGGGTGCTGTCTTAGTCTTTTTCAACTTCCGTATTTTCGTTTAGTTTACATATCACTGGAAGTTCCCGCAGTCGATATTTGAGTATGTTTTGCAGTGTGAAACTTCATTCGTGAATCTTTTTATTGATCATTACGTAGTCGACTTGATTCTTAATTTTTCCTTCTGGCCTTCTACATGTTCATATATGTCTTGGATGTTTTTGAAACCAGGTGTTGGAATCCTAGTCATTCACCGTGCACCATTCGATCCATTTGTCTCCACGTTTCTTACTGGTTCCTAATCAAAATTTGCCAACAATATCACCATCCCTCTCGTTGCTTACTTTGGTATTCAGGTCTCCTATGACAATTATAACCTTTTCAATTTCTTAAATGCAATATCTCCGTCACTCCCAGTAAGCCCATTTTTTCTTATGTGCTTCATCGATTTGCTTGTGATGAAATATTTTTTAAAAAGTTATCAAACCAACTCGGCTATCAAAGGATTTAACAACTAATTGAAAAAAAATAATGCCAGCCTGCGATATGTGGAAAGAGAAACGAAACCGCTAATCACATAAGTGAATGTATCAGATTAGATTAAAAGGACAGGAAAATGGACTTGACTGGGTAATAACAGTGATCTGCCTATAATCATGCAAAAGAATAATATGAAGCAAGGCATTCTAAGTAACCGTAAGTTCTATTCTACTAGTTTCTTCTCTCGCACATCTCGCCTGTGGAACTTTTTTCCAGCTTCTCGCTTTCCTGTCAACTACAATCTTCAAAAATTCAAATGCAACATTAATCCTCAACCTGTCATCTTGAATCCTGTTCTTTTTATTGTCCTTTCTTCTCAGTAGCCTTTACTCGGTTTCCTTCATTCTTTGTTACCTATTGCGTCTTAGTAGCTTTAGTACCTTGCATGGGGCGAAAAGATTAAAAAAAAACTGCTAACCCTCCACCTTTACAGTAATAAACTGAAATAAGTTGATATTTTAACCTTGTACTTTCTAATTTTCACAACGAAGCAACTCCTTTCTACTAAATTGTATTTGAATATTTTCATGTACCCTTCATTGACTGATAACGTTCGTTTTAATTTTACATTTAATCTATAGAGGTCTTTATTTGAGGCGATAATCAATCGTTATTTTTTGCAATAGTGATAAAGGATGTGCGAGTGGAGTAACCGTTGTCAGTACGGAATGTGAACGTTCAAATTCCAGTTTAGTCTGTCGCAATCACTTTTGTGCTAATTCTCTTGTGAAAGGCATGAATCTCTATCTTATCTTCCTACCTACATGTTAAACAGCAGATTAGACTTGGATGGCAGTTAGTATAGGAAGCATAGACGGAAAACCATTTTACTATCTTTCTCTACAGAGTCATGGTAATTCACAGATAATAAACAAAAGGAATCTGTCGGGGGTATGATCGCCTACATCTTGAAGTATTTTTTAATATGGATAAATAACGCGCCTTGGTAAACATCGAATCGAGTTAAAGGATTGGCTCCGAATACTGAATTTTGTTAAAACGTTTCGTCGGCCATTTTTCCCCAGAAAAGCTTAAAAGTACATTGCCAAGGGTTCATGATCTTTTCCGACTGTGTTCTAAATCCTACCTGAGCTCGGGTACCGGAATGTTCTGTGCATTAAATAGATTGCTTACCAAAATAAATATCCCATACGACAACGCAGCCGTTCTCCAATCCAATAGCCAACATAGTAGAAAAACGAGACACTGCTAACGCGGTGATGGCGGCTGCAAATGGCCACACTCTGTCTGGTTCCAAAAAGGCCCCTTCTGAAAAACACATTTAATCAATTAAAAGATTTAAAATTAACAGATTTTATTAACACTTTTATAGTTCTTGACGAAACACGTCTTATTGAGGAGAAAGAATAGGCTGGTGAAATTGACATGAGGCTATCAAACGAGGAATTTGCGACAAGCGATTGGGTAGGAGCACCTCCGGACCCTCGCTATACGATCAAGAGCGCAGAGAACTTGGACTGATGTGACAGCGTCTATCAGATAATCACTCTAGCAACTTCGGACTGATGTTACATACGAACGGAGGATTTTTTTTAAATAGCCACGCAAAGCCGAGCTGTTTGAAGAGAACTATCCCGCGTTAGTGCGCAGTCAACGTTAAATAGCGACAACGAGAAAAATGAAATAAATCGTAAATATGGTAATGAGTGGAATTTCCTTGTGTTCTACTGGTCATCATGATTATTGAGTAAAATAAAAGGTCATTTGGTTTATTAACCACTTCCGATCTGAATTAATTTCTAATTTTCTACTAGTTTTACGGTAAAATTTAAATTCAAAATGTGGGATATTTACACATGTCAATCTCTCTCTAGTATTATATGTGTTCTGATAGGATTACATTGAAACTTACACAAAATAATTTTTACTCCTTAGTTTTCCATAAGAACTAAATACAATAAAATTACCGACAAGCGAAAACTCTATTTTATATTTAATGTTTTATATATATATATATATATATATGTTTCATTGAATAATATAGGCATATTATATCTATTTATTTTTATACTGATCCTTTCCAGTTCTCTAATCAGTTTCTTGATATTAAGGTGAAATTTATCAAGGAAAGTGCCATAGTTTTTTCCTACTCAAGTACTTTCGATCTCCTCCAAGATCATCCTCAGTGGGGAATTATAAAGACAAACTTATTGTAACTGTGATAAAATCTGCATTTCGTTGTGATGGTGATTTTTTTATAAATACGCATGAACACGCTCTGTTATAATTATTTTAAAAATTTAAATTTATTCGTTTTAGCTATGGAATGTTTTTGTTTTTTAAAAATCACCATCACAACGAAACGCAGGATTTATCACAGAATAAATTTGTCTATATATATATTCAGAATGGAGATATCAAACATTGGAACAATCATGTTTCAGAATTATGTAATTATAATTCAAATTAAATTTAGATCACAGAACAATTTTATCCCCAACCCCCACCGCGCAGCTTATTTCAAATTCATCATTACAGGTAAAAATAGATTGCAAAGTCTCCCAGGCATGTATAAATCTACACCTGGCTATCATGGTTTCCAAATTCAATGTTCTCTGGAGGAAGAATCATAAAAGACATCACTAATTTCGAAACAAACCACTGATACATAACTGCCATGCATCTCAAATTATTAACATATATCCTTTTACGGTCAATCGGCATTTTTAGATACCGTTGCGACACAAACACGTATTTTTACTAGCCGGTCTGTTCCATGCCATTTTTTTACACCTTTTATTATTTACAGCACCTTCCCCATAAATTACTCTAATTCTTTTTGCGTTTAACCTTCATTTTTATCTTCCTTTTAGAAAGAAAAAACGTAATGTCATAAATGTTGTTTATTTTCTTCAGACTGCAGTGTTAAAATAAGTATAAAGAAAATACGCCCATTCTGGCAATTGTTTTGTATGAACACTAACATGACAGTTTTTAAAATGCAATCATTCGATCACCGAAGTTAAGCAACATCAAGTCCGGTCAGTACCTAGATGTGGGGGCCATTCAGGAACACTGGTTATTGCAGGTAACCTCCTACAATCCTAAATTTGTTTCAGCTTTTAATGAACAACAAAGGGTTGATAAGACGTAAAAACAAAAATCAAGCAATTATAATACAATCAACGGCAATATGTTTTAATGTAGCTAGAATTAAACGGTTTTAATGTCATGTAACCACAAAATGGCAATCTTTTTTTAATTCTTCTTATATCACCTGTTTCTAATGTTATCTACTAGTAAACATCTTTGTACTACGTCGAGGTACACATGTAACAGGAAAGATAAATCAAAGAGGTCAAGTGGAGATTCCTAGATAACAAACGTGGGAGGCTTCCATACTGATGTTTATTGTATATGAAAATACACAATTTTGGCACAAGGCCTAAAAGGAGGGAATTGGTTGAGGCTGGTTTTCACTTACTATCTTATACCTAGCTAATCAGATCCACGACCCTCGTTACAATTTGCACACTCACCACAAGAATTCATCTGTCACCAACCAATCCTCCCCTATACCATAATACCGCATACTCGCAAGGAATCTAAAAACGCACCCCGTGACATAAAAACTTGATGATTATAAAAATTTATACATAAAAATCTGATGATTTACAATGTGAGAGGTGTGGATGAAGCCAAAAACAAAACTAAAATATCAAAACAAACAAAATAAAGATAACTGATGTTGGTAGGAACCGTCCAACCCCCAACCCAAAAGAGAGGCCGCTGTTTTCTGCCCTTAGACTAAATCAAGAGGCTCTCACGCTAAGGGAGGGGAAAAGGGGAAATTAGATACGGACATGGGGAGTAAAGGAAGCTGACCCAGACGATATGAAAGTGTGCCAAAAACAAACTGGGGAGGTTGGAAATCTCGACTTGGATCACCACCAAAGAAAAAGCCAAGAACAGGCCGGGAACGACAATTACTCACATTAACTAGGTACACAACTAGGGTCTATCGTAACCATGGGAGGGTTCCTCGGGAAACCGCCCCGATCTGACAGGGAGACCTAAAAAAAAGAAAATCAAGGCTAGCCCCGTTCACGCGAACCTGGCTCGCCTCAGTCACCCACCTTTCGCTGAAATCTGGAATTTGGTTTCGATCGGTCAATGTATTTTAGAGGATGTGATAGAAGGACGGACTAACGGAAGTCACAGAAATTTATATTTTAGATAGATGAACCGCAAAGAAATTTGGACTTGCTAAAGAAAACCAGTAACGTTTTATGCATATATTCACTTTGGTATAATCATGAAATGCAACAGGAAATGAAATAAATAAAAAAAAACTTTAAAATATTCACCTTTTCGGAGTTTTCCCAACAAGTATAAGGAAAGGATATGACTGTCAGAACACCAGACAAGAATGGCCGAACTGTTTACTGTAAAAAGAAAATAAGAACCGTATAAAAAATATGTATATATATTTTTACCCATTATGGTCTCCTTCTCTCATTATAGATAGATAGATAGATAGATAGATAGATAGATAGATAAACTATACATATTACCTACGTTAGTTGTACAACTCAAGAGTCTCATATGATTACAATCGTCAGGTACTAATATTTATGAACTTTTCCATACGAGTGTTTTCTAAAATTCTGAGTCCCATGGATGTAGCATTATATTGTATATTGATTCAACGTTTGAAATTATTATAATTATAATTTAATATTGGTGTATAAATGCAAAATTGTGTGTGGGTAAGGAAATAATGTAAAATAAAATAGAAAAGCCGTTAAATGTAAATGATCAAGCAGTCCAAGGGGGGCAACTTTCCGCATATGAGGATTACACAATGATCTTCATCCTGTACAAAGCCCGGGGGTTGCTACTCGAGGCAGAAGGTTACAGAGTAAGAGGTACACTTTATTCAGATATGTGTGGAAGATAACCGTTATCCCTAGACTTGTATAAGTTAAGATTGTAGAGATTGGGAAAGCGACCTCTTGGGAGTCGGTTCCACAAGGCAGTGGTTTGTGAGAAGCTGCTCTAGTGGAATTTACATCTCGCCAATGGAATACGGAGTGAATGACGGTGGCTCGCTACAATGTGAGTGGCATGGCGGGTCTTCTCTGTGAAGACTAGGATAGGTGGAATTTTATGAGTTTAGTTTATCTAAACACTCTCCATGGAAATAGCATTGAGCAGCGAGGGGCTACTGGCGTCTCGTCTGTGAAAAAAGGGTTTGTAGGGTCAAGCAAAAGGACGCGGAGAAGCTTTTGGAATCTATCGTGACTGAATAGTGAAAACTGGGCAATCCTTGCCCATATATAGCAGAATTACACTATTTTCAGCCTGATCTGGCTCTTGTAGAGGATAGCAGATGTGCGGTACTTGCTTAAGCGATACACGGAACCGATCATTTATCCAGCATCTTTGCCGATGGATCATATGTAAGAGTTCCGCTTGAGGTCCTGGGATGAGTTTAAGTCCCAAGAGGCGCTCAAGGTACAGAGCCTCCCCGAGGAAACACCCGTTCATTGCGATTGGTGAGAGTTCTGGATCCAATCGGCGATAGTGGAATGTCACTAGTTTGGTTTTTTGAGGTAATGAATGTTACCAGCCAGTGTGCCCCCACTGAGCTGTTAAAGCTAGGCTAGGGAAGAGATCAGCTGTCAAGCTCTGGTTTTCGAAGATTTTTAGGGGTGCACCCATATACTGTTGAATCATCAGACTAGATATTCACAAATGATCAAAGTATACTCATAGGCAGTAAATTTATGTAAATTAGGGAGAGGGTTGGACCGAGAAGCGAACCTTGGGGGACGCTTGCATCGATCGCTTGGGACACGGAGGACTAACCGTTAATAACTACGTTCTATAACTGAGAAAACCCTTCCAGTGATTCCATAGTGAGGAAGCTTGATCTGTAACCCTTTATGCCACACCTTGTCAAAGGCCTTTAAAATATCTAATGCAATCGTTCTTGAGTTGTATTTGTTGTCAAGTGCCTCACTAATTCTGTAAGTAATCGCAGTTAGGAAATCAGCAGTGGACCAGGCCAATCGAAATTCATACTCTGTCGCTGAAGAGGTTGTTCTTTGTTCCTCGTTGACTTTAGCTTCAGAGAGTTTACTCGTGACACTGGGGAGACTAATGAACCTATACCGAGAGGAACATGAGCGCTCACCTGCATTCTTGAAAACCGAGCATACACTAAACACCTTTCACAGACTCGAAGAATTCCTCCAAGAATCGGTTAAATAAATTCGCAGAGATTAGGTATAACTCTGGGTTAATATTTTAAGGACAACCACTCGGATTTTGTCTGAAACGCTGGCGTTCTTAGAGTCAAGACATTTGATAAGTCTTGAGACTTCGCGGACTGTAATGAAAATATCCCTGAGATTGTGCCCAGTTTGTCGAGGAGAAAGAGCAACAAATAGGTCGGAGTGACATTTCCAAACAGGTTGGGAGCCTTAAGCTAACAGTAACAACAATTATAAACTGAAACTATCATTTGTTGGCGTGTAAAGGATCCCTACACGAATTAACAAACGGAGATGTCTTCGAGATGTGAGAACATAAAATACGGGAATTGGTCATGTTAGCTGGGGGGGTAGGTTATGAAAAGCTTTACACGGAGCAAAAATTCGAGGTTGTGATAAAAAAAAAAGTTGAAGGCAAATGAGTTGTTAACGTGAAAAAAATATATTTCTGTTAAATGTTTATTAAATGTTCACATTTGGATGAAATAATTATTTAATAAAAGTAGCTTATATTTGGTATAAGACCAGTATTATTGTGATGCAACTGTCATCTGGGGCTTCAGAATACGCCGACTGCAACCTCTAATGAGACCTCCTGGGTATGACGATGAACTACAGGCAGGAGATTTTGAGGAACGTGGAACCACCTCTTAATTCCAACGAGAGAAAAGTGTGTATGATAAAAAAAAAGAGGAACCGCAAACGTTTTTGGTTGTAATGTGGACTTTTAAAAAAATATATTATGCTTTATTTTCCATAATTTTGCTACACGGGTTTCCGGCCTCGCGACCTTCATCAGGCAAAGAGTGGATATTTACACATATTCTTAAAGGGAATTAAATTTTCTTATGTTTTTCGATGTTAAATATTCTCGATATTAGACATTCTCTTTTTTGCGTGTTAGTGACCCAAATGTCTTTCTTGAACTAGCAGTGATAGAATTCTGCGTGAAGGGTAATAAAACAATTAAGACTGGTCCGAGAAAGGCTGAGGAAAGATATCTATATTCTTATCTTTTAATGACCCCTGTGTGTTCTTAGATCTATTTCCATTTTTTTGTCAGCATGCGTACGCATACGTATATTCCCTCCCTCTCTCTCTCTCTCTCTCTATATATATATATATATATATATATATATATATGCCTCCCTTCTTTGTTTATCTCTAACGGCATTAAGTTAAAGAAAACAGGTTTTGTTTCCAGAACACAAGAAAAGAGTCTACTTTCGTTTCTAGAGATTTTGGCCGTCCAAGATAAAGATCAAACCAGCTTAAGACAGAAAAAAACCATTATGATCCAAACGCTTAATGACCCGTAGATTCTGTTTGACTGATCACGTGACCAACTGCCTGGTAATGACTGGAATAGTGTAATCAGGTCTTGTTTGTGTCAGGATAAACGCGGGAAAAGATCCAGAGAGAATCACACACGAATTCATTCACACTAAGAAATACGAACGTGCCCTCCTGGAATATATGTTGCCACCATTGTGTAAGTTATGCGCTTACATTACTAAAGGAAAAACATTACACACACTATATATATATATATATATATATATATATATATATATATATATTATTAATGGAAATCTTATAAGTATAAGAAACTATACTCGCTCGGAAAACCTTCGTTGTATTGATTTGCAAATAAACAAACCAATACCAAAGGGAAAAAAAGGTACAAAAAAAAGAACCAAGAACATGTACGTTAAACGAAAATAATCATCCATCATACGAGTTCAAGGTCCAAAGAAAAAAAACCCCGATGCGAGTACCCAAGTACACTGGGTGTCCATCAAGTTCGAGTGCACTTTAAAAAATTTATAACTTTATTTGAATTTTCGATAGAAATAATTTGTAAAAAGTATTAGAAAGAAGTCAATCTATATTTTTCAAGGTTTTATTGAAATTTTATTTAAGTTTCCACATGTCCTCCATCTTTAGCAATACAAATGGTAATACGATTTTGCAGTTCACGGAAAACATTTACCAACTGATTTACAGTAATGCCTGAAATCACATTAGTTATTTTAGCTATACTTAAAACTAGATACATTAAGCTTTATAACATCTTTTACAGATTATTTCTATCGCAAATACAAATAAAGTTATAATTTTTTTAAAGTGCACATGAACTTTATGGACACCCTGTATATATATATATATATATATATATATATATATATATATATATATATATATATCAGATTTGGAAGGCTGTCCCGTTGTTATAATTTATCAGTATTTGTTGTTGTTTTGTGTCTGTGTCAGTCATCCTTGAAGTTTTAACCAAGGAAAACACTACGTGAAAATTAACTTTTTTCTTCTTTCATCATTTCATCCCAAGTAAGGCAACAAAACCACTAAGATACAAGGGGTTACTCGATTGTGGAACTCTTTTCCAGCTTCTTGCTTTCTAGACAACTTTGATCTTCAATAATTTAAATGCAATGTCAATCGTTATCTACTATCTTCTTAATTCCTCTTAATGTTTTTCTTATTGTTTCACACTCAGTAACCCCTTTGTGTCTTAGTGGCTTTATTGCCTGACTTCGGTGAAATGTTTAAAACAAATGTGATTTTTCTTATAGATTAAAGCGTTTTCCTTAGTTAAAACTTCAACACACACACACATATATACACACACGAAAATGCCAAGCACAAGTTAACTTTTAGTCGACATCATAACAAAATCTGCCAACCCCTAGTTGACTCGTGGTTGTGTTAAAACCGAAATGTATTTTGAATTGCGATAAATGTTTTTGGCGAGTAAATATTGCATTAACAATTTTTTTTGAATAAATAACGATTACTTTCAGAAACAAGTTCTACTATTTAACCTATAGCTGGGAGGAGAAAAGATGGATTCATAATTGAATGTAACGAACTCGACTCTCTGATTTCTCATTCAGAGTCGCTATTCATTACAACTTAAACTCATAAGCACACTATATATAGTGTATATATAGAATGAGTGCGTGTCGGATTCTAGTAAAATGATTCGTGTTCAGTACTTGTAACATTTTTCTTTTACAATCAATCTCTAAACAATTAAATATTGCATAAAATAATTTGCAAGTCTTCAATTATTGAAATATGTATTCGTTATTGAAATTCACAATCGTGCTTTATTAAAGAGAATATCTAAATTGCGAAAACTGACTTGTTCCAAGATTTCCCCTTTTTCCCAATTCAAACATTTTCTCGTCTCCAAAAACTCTCCTTTTCTTAGAACTATAAGGAAGAGAATCTTTCTTTTCCTGAAAATATCGAGGTCTTTGATGAAAAACAAAATGTCAGCACTTTATTGAAAGATTTCATATAAGTTTCCAATCAATCTTTTATGTAGCGATCACGGCTCTCCACAACTATCCTTAGTAGCAGTAAGATATATTTGTCCCTTTTACTATCCCACTTAATCACAAGTCTTAAAACCTGGAAGAAAAAACGAGGCCTTTTAGGAGACAAAGCTAAATGATGATACAAAGATAAATAAAAGAAATGACAAAAAGGAATTTACCTTGATTTTGTCCATCGCAAGGAAAAGAGAGCGCAGCCGACTGGATAAAATGGAAATTAAGGGGCCTGCAAAATAATTGAAATGTTTATTAAATCAGTTTATAACTCAATCTGTGTTGACACACTGACTTCTTCAGTTAACTCTTTTAGATAAACATTTTTTTAAAAGTGTTGAATAAGGTGAACAGCATGGAAAATGGAATCGGCAAACCCAGTTCAAATTCCAGCTCAGGTAGTTCATGTCCTCTCACACTCACGACCCTGGGAAAAAAATGAATGCACATTTCTCGAGAGGTCAGATCGGATACCATAAGGTCCAGTGCTACATAAAGAAATAGGAATTGCCAAATAACCTCCCCATTACCCCAGAAATTCTACAAACGATCCAGAAAAGTACTTTTTTAGTCGTATGGTGCCTTGAATCTTATTAGTATTAAGAATCTCTGTGGAACGAGAACAATCTACACCCGTAGATTGAATAAAGGGTTCAGTTCGAATTTCCCTGTGGGTTATCCAGTTCGACAAACACCTATTGAAGGCCGGCAGGCACAACGGCCGAAACGTTGTGATAACAACAACCAAGAGGGGGGCAATAGTCTGTAGGCAAATAATAATCCCTCATCCCAGAACTTCAGATAGAAATAAATAAAAAGTTCAGATTTATCTCCCAACTCCGAGCTTCAAAGAAGTAAATCCACACACACACACACACACACACACACACACACCTCCAAATATGGTCTGTTTATTTTTTTATTGTATTTTTTCAGTTTTCAAATAAAGTACTGAGTATTGTGCTCTAAGTTGTGGATAAAATATCCTTATTCGGAAATACAAAAGATTAAACCGGCAAATCTCGACGGTTCTATTAAATCAAACTTGTTTGGATGAATAATTTTTTTTTTAATCGAGATCACTTCATGTAAGGAAGTAAAGTCACTAAGACACAAGGAGTTAGTGGGTGTGAAAGAGTTAGAAACAAAAACATTGCTAAGGGGCGAGAACAAAAGAGGAGTAATCAGAAGGATAGTAAATAACGATTGACATTGCTTTTAATTTTTTGCAGATTAAAGTTGGCAGGAAAGCATGGAGCTGGAAGGAAGTTCCACAAGCGAGAAGTCTGTGGAAAGAAACTGTTAGCATAGAACTTACGGTTACATCTAGCGAACTCAACTGTATATTGGTGATATCTCGTCGTCAGTCCAGTACTGCGCTTAAATTCATAAAGTCTAGGTACCATAGTGAAGAGCTCATCTGGACAATTTATAGAAAAGGCACAGGGAGGCAACTTTACAGTTGTGGGGAAAGTGACTGAAGCTGAGACACCAGATCAGGACCGATAATATTGCTGATTCTTCTTTGGATTTTATCAAAGAGCTCTAGATTAATAACAGGAGCAACGGACCATATGTGGCAGTAATATTTTAAGCATGGACGAATGGTAGATTTACAGACATGTAAAATACATTCTGGAGAGGGAAATTGTTTAGTGAACCAACCTTCTTGGTAGCTGACTTGGATTCAATATAGTCTTTCCACTTTATGTCAGCCGAGAATTTTAGACAAATAAGGCGAAACGAGTCACTCCACTGAAGGTCAGCATTAGATAGATGCTGATGGAAGGCAGAGAGGGGTCATTCAGATTATTAATTGATAGCAGTTTAGTTTTGGAAGCGTTTAAATTAACAAGCCATTCTTTGCCCCTGTTAACAACAGACTATAGGTTGTTTTGGACATCAGCTGCCATTTTGACCTTATCAAACTGAACAGACTTGCTATCAAGACAGGAGTAAATGGTTGCCATCAGAGAAGATACCAAGTTGAGAGCTGATGTGATTGGGAAGGTCATTCATGAAAATTAAAAATAAAGTAGGACCAAGGGTGGAGCCCTTGAGGACACCAGCATTAATTGGAAAGGATCTAGAAGAATGACCGTTCAGGATTACTTTCATTTCACGATTTGATAGGAAATACTAGATCAGTTCAAAAATGTGTCCGGAGGCACCGTAACTTTTCAGCTTCTGTAGAAGACCTGTATGCCAAGCCCTGTCCAAAGCTTTCGAGATGTCCAAAGCTACAGCCAGCACTTCACCTTTCTTGTCTAGAGCAATTATAGTCAGTATATCGGCAGTAGACCTGGAGAAACGAAAGCCATATTGCTTGTCTTAAAAAAAAGGCCCTGCGATGTGAGATGTTTAACCAATTCAGCATTGATTAGGTCCTCTTGGGGTTTCCCAAAAAGAGGTATGAGGGCCGACAGTTGGAAGAGTCAGACGGTTAACGCGAGCTCTTACAAATTGAAACAACAGATGAGGACTTCCAGCAGGCAAGAAAGCAAAAAACGGTGAGGCATTTATTATACAGTTTAGAGAGAACAGGAGCCAGTTCGGGAGCACACTTCTTAATGACTATTACAGGGATATCATCAGGTCCACATGCTTTGTGGAGATCCAGGTTAGAGATGATAGCAGAAATCATAGAAGTGAGTTATCCGTACATCACTCAATAGAGACTCAGTTCTAAATGGGAAGTTAGGTAGTATGCTCCAGATGAGTCAAGAGTGTACGGTCGAAACATTCAGTTTTATCAGCAAAAGATGCTAACAACTAAACTTGATTGAAGAGAGCAGGAATAGAGACCTTACACTTATTTAATACACTATTACAGAACTGCTGGTAATCACGAGAACCAAAGTTGTTAGATGCAATGCGGTGCCCCATTCACTCAGCAAACAGAGACTTAGCTCCTTCGAAGGCACGTTTACATTTATTACGTGCAACCAAGAACAGGCGTCTGTTGTGATTGATACTGTCATGCTGGTAAAGCCGGAAATAGTGGTTCCTATGGGCTATAGCGGCAGAACATGCTAGTGTGTAGCATGGAGAAGATTGAGGTTTAACTTGAGAAGGAATGAAAACATCTATACCGGCTTTGACCCAAGAGGAAACCTCAGTGGTACAGTTATCAATATGAAGGTTAAAAATATCAATCCAGGGGCCGTCAAGAAGAAAGTCATGAAGAGAATCCCAGTCAGCATGCTGGTAACGGAAAGAGGTCTTATGAATCGGAGGTGTAATTGGAACGGAATATAAGTAGATAATACTACAGAGGGATCTGTGTTACCAAGCGGACAGTGTTACGAAGCTCGGCAAGAGCTTGAAAAGGTGATAAGAAAGAAATATAGTGAAGAAGCCTATTGCTCAGATTTGCTTGGGAGGTCGCAGCCACTGACTAGTCAGTTCACCAAAAAGTTAAGTCTGTTAAATCATTATGGCCATGGAAGAAGAAAGAACCGGTAAACCATACCCTAAACAGAGAACAAGGGACGATTCTCTACTTCTGGGTTAGTCTGTTGAGTTCACTTTCACGCAAATGCCCTTCGGAAAATGCATGAATCCGACTCTTCTGTAAACAGCTATTAGTTAAATGCAGTGCCCCATTCTCTCAAAGACTTAACTCCTTCGAAGATTCGTTTACATTTATTACGAGCCGTCCAGGAGGCGCATCGAAGAAGATCACGAAGCGAGTCCCAATCAGCTTGCTGGTAACGGTGAGAGGTCTTATGAATAGGAGGTTCCTGTTTAATGGATGATTGGAATGCACTATCAATAGATATTACAGAGTGATCCAAGTTTCCAAGAGGACGGTGTTCCGAAGTTCGGCAAGACCGAGAAAAGGAGAGGAGATAAGAAATAAATCAAGTAGAGAAGAAGCCTGTTGCCCGGATTTGCTAGAGAAATCGTTAGGGAAAGCCACAATTTAAGCAAGGGATTGAGCAATGAAAAAAAATACCTGAATACCGGCAACATTACTAACATTAAAATGTTTAAGTTACGTGTTATGGTGTGCATTAAAATTACCGGAGACAAAGATGTTCGCAGATAGATGGACAGAGAAAGAGAGAGAGAATGTGTCGTTTCTATACTGTCAAAGCTTGTCTAATACAATGCAGTCTTGAAAAGAGGGGGAGCGATAAAGGAAAAAGAGATAACAGTGCAATAATGAAAGACGAAAGCACATGAAAGAGTTGTCGAGGGACTCGAGATACAATTCCCTTGTCATCGGAAGATTATTCCGGATGTAAACACCAAGGCCATGGATGTGAACGTTGTAATCTTTTGGCAAAGGGGAATATAGCCTGGAACAGAGAATTCATTGGTAGCAATGGCAGAATTTAAGTTTGTTTCGTAAAGTGCAAAGATATCCAGTGACCGTTCCATGAGTAAAGGTACTATACTACTAAAGTTGGGGCGGGTACCATTAAAATTGGAGAAAGAAATTTTGAGGCGGGTAGGTGTTTTTTGCTTACTGGTTTTCTCGTATTTCGTTTCATTGCGTCTGTCATGAGGAGATTTGTATTGAGGAGAAAAGAAAAGGCCAACATAATTAGCACAATCCGTCGTCGATGCCAGTATGAACCAGTCAGAACTGACTGAGACCAGACTATAATGTGGCCTCAGAGTTTCCCACCGAAAATAAATACAGGGAACCGATCCATGCACGATATGGCACTACAAATACCCCGATATTATGCGACTGTTTATCAGAGCAACTTCTCTTAAGAGTCCGGGCTCCTGACTAGTCCGATTACCAAAGAAGTAAAGACAGTTTAATCATTATGATGGCCCTAAAAGAAGAAAGAACCAGTAAAACACAACCTGAACAGGGGATAAGGGATGATCTCCTACCCCCTGTTCGATAGACGCGGAGGAAACCATCTACATGATGAGTATACGTCGGGGAGAGGAAATATTTACAGGTAAAACAAATATATATATATATATATATATATATATATATATATATATATATATATATATATATATATATATATATATATATATATATATATATATATATATATATATATTGAAGTTTATAAGCAGTAAATTGACCTTGCCTACCGAACGATCCATCCTTTGTGGCCGATTGATAAGGCACGTCAGCGTAAATGACGGTTCCGTATAGGATGCAGGTTCGAATCCTGTCAAAGGACGAATATTTTCTATGAAAATTTCTCGGACATTCAGGCCGGTAAATGTTATTTAATACTGTTTATTATAAAC